GGGGGGGGGGGGGGGCTCGCCCTGAACGGGAGGGAGATGCAGTCACCGTCCCCTCCCCAGTCGCCACTGCCCCGTCCTTCCTCCTGTCCTGCGGGTTCTTCCTGCCAGCCCCCACCCCACCGAGAACTTGACCCTAAGGGAAGACTCTGAGCCGCTGGAGCTCATGCCAGAGTCGGACTGGGCTGGGTGGCCTCGGGCAGCGCCCCCCTGTCCCTGGGCCTGCCTGCTACCAGCTCGGGAGGGCCTCCCGGCTCTGGGGGTTGCTGTTTCTGATGAGCTGGTGCTGGAGGGAAGCTCTAAGTAGTGGAACTAGCTTCTTCCTGCTCCTGGTCCACCCTGAGCCTCTCTCCCTCGCACCACCTCTTTCTCTTCGTCTTCCAAGATAGCACAGACCTGAGCCTTTCTTACATATGTTGGGGACGCTGCCTAGGCAGATCCCACCAGGAGCCCAGGGCCAGCCAGGGCCAGTTTTCCTCTACCCCGTCCTGGTGACTCCCCTGGGCATCCGTTTTTTAAGAGCTGGACTGGTGACCAGGATCCTGGGCTTCTTTTCTGCAGGATGGGGCAGTGTCCCACCCACCAGACCTCCTAGAGGGCCCAGGAAGTGGTGCCTGGGTACTGGCGCTCCCATCCCAGCCCAATGTGGGTGACTTCCTCACCCAGCCACTCCGTGTACGGACCATGCTTAGTGGCACCATCCACATCTTCGTCCCCTGCCTAGGAGTGCAGCGCTGGGCCCCCTAGTGCTCCTCCAGAGCCCGTGGTAGCATGCCCGCCACTGGCTGGGCCTCCAGAAAGCCCTCAGCCCATCCCCAGCTCTAGAGGCCTCTTCTCCCTCCCCCTGCAGCCCGCAGCAGAGCCGAAGCTAGAAGCAGAAGAAAAATAGACTCTGGGCTTCCCCAGACATCCCCTCCTAGCAGAGCCTGGGCCGAGTGCCCTATCTCAACGCAATGCCAAGATAGAGGCCCTTGCTAGGGGGGCCAGGACCAGTGGCAGCCCTGCCCAGCCCTCAGTGACACCAGCCGGGCTGGACCACCCTTGTGGGGCCCCAGAGCAGCCTGAGCCAGGGTCAGATGGGCCGCAAAGCTCCTCCTCCCTTCTCCCCCCTCCTGCCCTCTCTGGCCCTCTCTTGCTGTCCCCAGCTGTCCCAGTCTCACCCTGGGCCCCTCTCCCTCCTAACTTTGCTGTCACTTCTCTCCTCTTGGTCCCTAGAAGTGAGAGTCCTGAGGCACAGGAAGAGTGAGTAGCTGTGTGCGTGGCTCCTGGCTGAGGCTGAGGCTGAGGCGTGGGGTGGGAGAGGGCTCGCCCAGGAAAAGCGAGGCAGGAGGGCCCGGGACTTGAGGAAAGGGTAGGGCCAGAGGCCAGCAGGTGAAGGGACCTGGATGTCACTGGAGGTGGCACCCCTCCACCAAAGCCACATACCCACTTGAGCATTCTCCACCCAACTGATGGGTTTGCCTAAATAAAGGAGCCAGCTGGGTGGCTTTTCCCTCCATCCCCTTCCCTGTGACGGTGCTCTGGGATCCCCAGCGTGGAATCCAAGAATCGTTGGCCTGTTTTGTTCCTTCCACCCAGACCTGTCCCCTTCCTCGGGGCTCTAAAGACAACCCTCCCCAAATCCCCATTGACCTCCACCCAGGAGTCAGAAAATGCAAACCTGCACCAAGCTTTGCATGTTACCCACCCAGCCCTCCATCCTGGGTGCTCCCTCCCACATCCGCAGCAAGGGCTCCGCTTTCCCGGGTTCCCCAGAGCTGGGAGTGCTTTGCCGTAGTGTGCTGCTGGGTCGCAACCAGTGTGTCTGCTCGCGAGTCTGTCTGTGGGTGTCAGGGGGGAGGAGGGGCTGGCTGGGTGCTGGCACTCCAGGGTCCCGAGTCTGTAGGGCTATGAAGGCCCCAGTCAACTCTGTCCAAGGGTCACCAGGCTTTGCTGATGCAGGGAGAGGGCCAGAGGGAGACTCCACCCCAGGATAAAGGTTGGGTGGCTGGCCCCAGGTAGTGTTTTGGAGCTGGGCAGTTAGTGGCTGGGCGGAGCCATACCAAGAGTCCCCAGAGCCAGCCCAAGAACCAACATGAATTCCCAGGGGCCCCCAGGCGGGGGCCCTACACCCTGTGAGTAGGGCTGGGAGGAGGGTGGGGCCGCCATAGGCTGGGAGCCGAGGGCCCGCCTC